TCATCTTTCTATACATCAAAAATCTGTTTTGCCTTCAAGAAATAACTACCACTTTAACATATACTACACCTACACATTTACAGCATTTTTGTAAAAATGTATTCTCTGTGAACATTTAGAGTCATTGTCCAAAGACCTTTATAAAAAAAGGAAAGAAAAAAGTTCTAAGAAAAAATATGAAAACTCTATTTTTATTAGGAAGCTATACAATATTATATATATATATATATATATATATATATATATATATATATATATATATATATATATCATTAGATTAGTCATTACTGAAGACAATATGCCCTATATACAGACAAATGTATATGTTATAGAAAAATATTAAATACAAATTTTAAAAAATGCGTAAAAATCAAGAGAAGCAAAAAATGTTGAAAATTTGGTTGAAATTGTGTAGGCTGTATTTTTTTGCAGTATTTTGCTTGAATTATAATTATACTATCTCTCAACTTCTAGATATGTTTGGTGACTAAAATATTGCTTTAATCAATATATCTGTTTAATAAATCTATTTTGTTTAAATTCAACAAAATACATTACCAATATTATTGATAAATGGATACAAAAATTAATTTTCAAATTGGGGTGCTCATTTATGCTGAGGACTGTAAATATAAATATTTACAAATATAAAATATATATATATATTATTGTGATTTCCACTTAAACATGAAGACAGAGGTGGAGCATATTGAGTAGCTCCTTCTTTTAAAAAAAAATGGCAGTTGCATTTTGTTTTTAGTGCTTCTACGGGATCAAATATATCACAAATCAAAAAATAATGTGACAATCAAAAAACTGACAACACAAGTAAAATTATAACACACAAGAATAAAAATGTATTCTCTGTGAACATTTAGAGTCATTGTCCAAAGACCTTTATAAAAAAAGGAAAGAAAAAAGTTCTAAGAAAAAATATGAAAACTCTATTTTTATTAGGAAGCTATACAATATTATATATATATATATATATATATATATATATATATATATATATATATATATATATATATCATTAGATTAGTCATTACTGAAGACAATATGCCCTATATACAGACAAATGTATATGTTATAGAAAAATATTAAATACAAATTTTAAAAAATGCGTAAAAATCAAGAGAAGCAAAAAATGTTGAAAATTTGGTTGAAATTGTGTAGGCTGTATTTTTTTGCAGTATTTTGCTTGAATTATAATTATACTATCTCTCAACTTCTAGATATGTTTGGTGACTAAAATATTGCTTTAATCAATATATCTGTTTAATAAATCTATTTTGTTTAAATTCAACAAAATACATTACCAATATTATTGATAAATGGATACAAAAATTAATTTTCAAATTGGGGTGCTCATTTATGCTGAGGACTGTAAATATAAATATTTACAAATATAAAATATATATATATATTATTGTGATTTCCACTTAAACATGAAGACAGAGGTGGAGCATATTGAGTAGCTCCTTCTTTTAAAAAAAAATGGCAGTTGCATTTTGTTTTTAGTGCTTCTACGGGATCAAATATATCACAAATCAAAAAATAATGTGACAATCAAAAAACTGACAACACAAGTAAAATTATAACACACAAAAATGAAAAATAAATGCAAAATAAAAAACAAGAGATCATGTAACGAAATATTATGCAAACAACACAAAAATAAAAACACATACCATTATATACATTTTTGGAGAGTGTCAAATAAGTCCCAGAAGGTCATTTTTTAGTAGTTTTAATTTTCGCAAATCCACCAGAGGCTGCTGTGTACAATTTTTGAGATCTCAAATTCCTCTCATGAGTGCCATTTGTGCTTGCTCGTCCTGCATAAATCCACCAGAGTCCGCTGTCGACTGACTGTCTACTGAATGACTGACGGACTGATCGACTGACCCAGCCTCCTCCTTTCCTAAACCCAACCAATAGTGTTTTTGAGTGCATCGATGGACCCACCCACCCACTTCCTTAAACCCAACCGACAGTTTTAAAAAGCAATCCAGAAAAAGAAAAGCCCTCGCCTGATTTTAACCATGTTTTCAGATTTTACCACATTCTCACTTGTTATTTACTTGTTTATTTCATTTTTGCTTTTGTTTTTGTCTTACCAGGTTTCTGGAATTATTCTTCATTGGACTCCAACCCCGTCATCTTGGTCAATTTCTCTGTGTTGTCAAGTCAACCGACATACATGGTGAACTAATTGGACAAACAAGCAGTCAGCTGGTAAGCATGAAAGGGCACGGCGTCATACAGCCTCATATCGTTTGTTTTTAAGATGAAATACATCCACACGTACTTCTGGCTACATAATTTGCAATCTCCAGAAATATATATAGGACTACGTTTTCAGAATTAGCCTATGTTGGAATTGTGTGGAAGCCTGCATTTTTGGCAGTGAATTTTATCATTATTTTTGTTATCATTTTAATATGATTGTGTTTACTTTGTTAATATGTGCATATAGCGTTATTAGTGTCATTAGTGTAATAATGTAAAGGTTCCTTTCAGCCAACAAAGCTAATTAAAACTGAAAATTGTTGGGACCGTTTTATTTATTTATTTATTTATTTATTTATTTTTTACTGATTACAACACACATATTAACATGTATTAGAATCGAAAATAATAAAAAAAGAGGTTCCTTAAGAGAAAATTCCAATAAACTAAATCCAGTGAATGTTTATTAAACCACATTAACACAACTTTACTGCCATTAAAGGAGGAAATGAACAGTGTAAAGAGAAAAGATGAAGACGTGTAAAATGAACCGAACGACAGGCTGGACACGGGATGTTCCTACTGCTGAGGCGCTAATGCGGTTTTTGCTTCCTTTCATTTTCTCTCCCTCTATCAAAGCAATAGGAGTCAGTCTGGAGTGTTTATGCATCAGAGACTGGCACCAGCCGAGATAAAAGAGATTTTATCCAAACAGCTCAGAGAGAACAGAAAGGGCACAGGGACAGTGAATAGCTAAATACTGACTCACCTATTCATTCACCCATCTATTGACCTATCAAGTGCTGCTCTCTCATTTCAACATGGACCTCGCTGGTACACATACTGCCAGGATACTGTCAAAAACACCTTACGTTATACCTTTCTCACATGCATGCTAAACACCTCCACAAATGGCTTCAGATTCTGAAAAATCCCCTAAAATATCTTGAAATGCACAGTCTTGTTTGATGTGATTTCGACTTAAACATGAAGACAGGGTTGGGACATATTGAGTAGCCCCTCCTCTTTTTAAAAAAATTGCATTTTGTTCATAGCACTTCTGTTGGATAAAATATATCACACATCGAAAAATAATGTGTCAATCAAATAACTGACAACACAAGTAATAATATAACGCACAAAAATGAAAACTAAATGCAGAATAGGAAACAATGAGATCACATAATGCAAGCGATTAAATGAAAGCGAAAAATGAAAACCCGTATAAAATGACAAATGAAAAGCACAAAACTAAAACATGAACTTTTCCAAAATGGCAAACAAATGAGTTTTTCTGCTCATATTAAATTGGTTTGTGTGCCTACGTTGTGTGCTTATTTCGGTGTACGATTCATATAGGCCTGATATATTTAGTGGTCTATGCTCACTGTGTCTCTGGACCAGAGCAGACCATGCGTGTGACCAAAGCAGACCAGCTCTGTGTGACATTAACATGAAACTAGACTTCAGTCACCCCAATGGAAAACACATTTCCATTGCCTGAATCATTTATCGTCTATATCAGTGGCTCTCAAACTTTTTTCATCAAGTACCACCTCAGAAAAAATATTGTCTCTTCAAGTACCATCAAAATGAGCAGTAACAGTACAGTTAAAATACAGTAGCGTAGTAGGCCCAGTAAAGCAGCTACAACTCAACACAGTTAAAAAAAAACGTGGCAGATTACCTCAGAAATATAGGCTATATGTCATATGGCATATTTTATACATCATTTTTGATAAATTTTGAAATGTGTGTAGCATGTACATGACATATTTCATTCTTCCGCGTACCACTAAAAGGAAGCCTGCGTACCACTAGTGGTACACGTATCACAGTTTGAGAACCACTGGTTAATATAGTACACCATGTGCCATTCACCATTTATGAAACTGCTATTGTGTGTAACAGACTTAGATTTGTTCGTTCTAATTGCCTATATGCTGACCGTATATATGTGTGTGCACTGCACTTTCCCACTCAGTTTAGAATAACAAGGTGTGTTTATACACACATTGAGTTTTAGCATCCCTGCTTTTTAGTGTTGTTCAGATCAACACTGTGTCACCTACACTACCTGATAAAAGTCTTGTCTTCGATCCCAATTGTAAGTGCAACAAGTAATAACTTGTATTCTGGTTGATCATTTGGAAAAGTGGTAGAAGGTAGATTTTTCAGATGACTCATCTGTTAAACTGCATCCCAACCATCACAAATACTGCAGAAGACCTATTGGAACCCACATGGACTCTGATGATTCTTACAGAAATCAGCCAAGTTTGGTGAAGAAAAAAATCATGGTTTAGAGTTACATTCAATATGGGGGGCATGCAAGAGGTATCAAGAAATGTGCCCATCACCACAGGAGAGGGCAAGTTCTTCAGCAGGATAGCGCTCATTCTCATAAAGAAAGTCAAGGCACTCCAAGATGGGCCAGCTCAATCACCAAACATGAACATCATTGAGCATCTGGGGTAAGATTAAGCAAAAGACATTGAAGGTGAATTCAAAGAATCTTGATGAACTCTGGGAGTCCTGCCAGAAAGCTTTCTTTGCCATTCCAGATGACTTAAATAATAGGTTATTTGAATCATTGCAGAGATGGATGGATGCAATCATCCAAGCTAATGGGAGTCAAACACAATATGAATTATTTTTCCACTGCACCATGACTTTAAATTCTATACTGTACAATATTTCTGTTAAATGACAAGACTATTGTCTAAACAGAGTCAAACCATACTGTCCTAAATAAATTATTAAAAGTTAAGGCATGATCATATTTTATTTTGGTAAAATAAGTGTAATCCAGAGGCCTTTCCTTTCATGTAAACCACTTCTGATACCAAATGATCAACAAGAAGTCAAGTGTTAGACAATTCGATAGAAAGGAACATTTGGTTAGATGTGAAAAATCCAGCAAGCATAAAAACATATGGCTAATAAATGTCCAAACATAGCTAAAATACAACTCTACTTTCATTTCCATTCTACGGCTCTACTCTCCTGCCTGCCTGATCAGCTGAAATATTTCACTATCTGTAACTATGTTATGGCTTTTATTCTCTTTTTCTCATGCTTGACAAATTTACATTTTAAAAAAGCGCTATAGAAATAAAGCTGACTAAAGAAAACAAGGCTAAATTTGGGCAGGAATGAACAACTACACACGCAAAGACTGTCTAACCTGTGTATTTAATTAATTCTAGACTATTGTTAGACATCTAATAGATTTAGTCTTGTTTAAGCTGAGACATCTATAATTGGAAATCTATTAGATGTCTTTTGAACACAAAATTGGTTGGTGAGAAAGCTACTGTGCACAGTTATGTCCTAAGAATTGTTGATTCTTTTTGGAAGAAGTAAAAACTAAAAGTTTTTTTAATGCTTTTATCTTTTAAATGTGAATGCTATTACTGTTATGGAGCACGCTAGCTTTGATAACCTTAAGACTGACATATTGACACTACAAAGTCTTTGGTTTTGATGCCAGAGGGACTTTAGCTGATGTTTTCAGCCAGCAGAAGTTTGCCAAGCATTAAACAGGACGCAGATTTCCCAACACTGTCCACCATGTAGTTTGTGAGCCTCGGCTTCGGAACAGTCCACACATTCTGCAAACATTCAAAACTGCCCTGCCAGTGTAAACACAAAGAAAGAGTACGCATTTATGAAGAAATGAGCATTAAAAACTGCAGTTCACCAAATATACGTTTGAATCACTCTCATATTTCATAAAAACCCCTCTGTCCTATCATCCCTCAGTGGGACCCCGCGTCCGTTATCGCTGTTCTTGGGGCAGAATTCGGTCTTTCTTCTCTTCAAAAGCTCCCGACTGTCCAATCTCTCCAGTTATCTTTCCGTTCCTCTTTCTTTTTTCGCTCCCTCACTTCCCCTGGTGGTCTGTGTGTTGGCAGACCGCAGGAGGCAGATGACTCTTCCTCTCTTTGAAATGAGAGAGAGAGAGAGAGAGTCAACAGCGAAAGACATCAAACACGGCAAAGTCACGACAAAGGACATTTAGGAAAGAACTTTTGATCTGTTCCACACTACACCTCCCTCTGCCCTCTTTAAACCTGCCTATTAAAAGTGTAATTCGAACCAGGCTTGTTGGCACAGGAGGAGACATGTTTGGGCTGCGATTACTCCGCTCGGGTCAAAGGTCACCGAATGGGTCTTGTTAGGTACATGTGGGACTATGACAGAGCTTAACTTGTGAATTTATTAAGCATTTTGAGAAAGACTAATTGATTTTTTTTTTCAAAGAGATAGTTCACCCCAAACTGAGACTTTTCTCATTTTTTACACAAACCACATTTTAAATGTTTTAGCAGAGTTTTAGAAGAAAGTTTTTTTTTCTATACAATAGCAGCAGGGCTTGACATTAATTGATTTGATTACCAGCCCCTGTGGCTAATAGTTTTCCACTGTTACTAGCCACTTGACATTTTCACTAGCCACAATTTTGCTGCTGGGAAAATATATTTTATATGCAGAAATTTGACTTTGGCATGCTAAAATTACTTGATTTAGATTTTGTGTCATGTCCACATGCCTCCTCGTTCAATTAACTTTTTTGTGTGTGTGTTCTGTATGACCTTGCTCAATGTGCATGAGCAAAAGTGGTTTCATAGTATTGCATTGCAATTAGTTTTATTTCACATGACTTTTCAGGACTCAACATTAAGGATTTACCATTTTTTTCTCTGGGTACACCAAACTTATTATTTCCTTGCCACAAATTTAAAATAATTTGCCAAAACAAGTTAAATATAGCTTAATTTAACTTAAATATAGTTAAATATACTCACATTTTATTCAACAAAGATGTTTTTTTTTTAATTGACAATTAAAAAAGTATTCTCATGTATCTAAAACTATGCACAGTAGTCTGTCCTGCTAAAGGTCCCAGATCACCAGTTAACTACACATAAATGCAGGATTAATATTCTATTTAAGCAACGTTATTGTAAAGGGTGACCATTAAACCATTAACAAAAATAACTGTAAGCAAAAGATAGCAGGTGAAAGGGTTAGGCCCATTAATTATGTGTTCGAAGAATGGTTAAAGCGAAAGCGGCAACTGCTGCTGCTTACAAAGAATTTTGAGCTCTCGAAAGTAGCAGGACTGTAGGTGCACGAGCATAGCATTTTTTTCAGTTTCTTTTAAAGATAAATGATTGCACCAGTTAAGTTTCCAGGCATGGTTGCTTCTTGCAAGAAAACGGGAGCGTGCAAGCTTTTAAAACACTTGCGCACATCACATCAGCTTGTGCTCGCAACAATAAAAAAGCTCTCATCAGTGAGTGAAGATCGCCTGGAGCTCACTGTGCAGGTGATCCTCTCATTTGTTAGTTACCTGGATTCTTTTGCTCGTGCAAACGGTTATTTTTGTCGGCCCTGCTGCTTCTCGATTTTAAGATCACATTTGACCACATATTGGCAAACGGTCATAAAATAACTTCGCAATATTTAATGATGAACCAGCACTGGCAATTAAAAAAATATTTTTAACCAGCCAAAGTGGCTAGGGGGGACAGCTATCTAACCCACCACAGCTGAAATCTATTCCTCATTTGGCTGGTGTTATTGTCAAGGCATGAATGGCAGTTAATGCTAATCACAGAAACAAAAAACAAATAAATCTATAAAAAGAATCTTAAAAGTTGTAAACTTGTACACTGCTGTTTCTAGAATCTAAATCAGCGTTATTAATATGTTATTAATAAAAAACAACTGTACAGTACACTAAAGCCATTATTTAAGCCTTGCGTTGTGTTGAAAAAAATATAAAATATTGGATTAAGATTAAGTGTTTTTGTCTTTATTTAATAAAGGTTTGGATTGATTATTGGATGTGACTGATCATGTGTTTCATACATCAAAGCTTATGCATTCAATCAAAATGCCATTATTTGCTCGTCAATATTAAATATAACCTTATAATTGCACTAGTGTGCCTTAATGTATAAACAGGAATTTTGATTCTAAATGCTGAAAGCTTTCTGTGCAAAATGTAAAAAAAAAAAAAAAAAAAAAAAAAAGTCACATTCATGTTGTTCCTGGTCATAAAATAGAACATTAATAACAGTACGTTGTATTATCACCACAACATATTGAATGCAATAGTCCAAATTGAATCCAAATTAAAACAAAACCAATTGACAAAAAGATTGACAGTATTTAAAAACCAGCTTTTATAAATGAAATCTAAATTTCAGACTAAATACTTAAGCTCAGGCTAAAATTGCATCTCTTCCACATGGTATGTGAAAAACAATATGGAATCCAAATAATCTGAATAATTAAAATCTGCTCAATTATTAAATATTGAGCTGTGTGTGAAACTAGTGTTTTGTTAATTTTCTAAAAGAGCTTGAAACTGCACAGTTGGAGAGATGGAGATAATCGGCAGGAGAGACGTGCTGAACGCTTTCAATCTGCCACTGGAGGGAAGGAACAAAGGACAGAGGTCGGGGGTCAGAACTGCAGGCCTCAAAAGAGTACAAGACAAAACACACAAACACACATACCAACACACACAAAGCTACAAGCCTAACACCAACACGCACACAAACAAGAAACGCCCACATGCTCAATACACATATGTCTTTTATTAATAAGTATTAAAATCTGGTTGCAATTTGCCGTGTGAAAGGAAGGTCTTTATTGATGTTTTCGAAAGAAGACACTTATGCTCACCAAGGCTGTGATTATTTGATCAAAAAGACAGTAAGCAGAGTTACGCTGTGATATGTTGTTAATGCATTCATCTATTTTAATGCATTTTAATATTTACTTTATTCCTGTGACTGCAAAGACACATTTTCAGTCTTCTTCAGTGTGACGTGATACTTTAGAAATCATTCTAATAGGCTGATTTACTGCTCATTATGAATTATGATAAATTAATTATATTTCTTTATTATTATCATTTTATTTCATATTATTAAGATTTTTGCTGATACTTAGATTTGTGAAAACCTGATACATTTTATTTATGAATGATTATTGATGAACAGTAAGTTCAATTGAATACATTATTTTAAAACAGATATCTTTAGTACTATTATAAATGCTTACACTATAATAAAGTGTCCTTGCTGAATAAAGTTATTTTGTTTTATGATCTAAAAATATTAGAAAGCAAAACTTAACAGAAGAAAATGCATACCTTAAAGATGAAAACCTATGTTTAAGGACATCAAACATAATAAAAATATTTAATACAATTGTTTTAAATAATAAACAAAACATGAAATAATTATTAAAATGCAAAAATATAAAATGTATTTAGTAAACATACCAAAATAATATACTATTTTTAAATAATATACACTAAAGAAACATGAATTATAAATACTAAAATCACAATGGGAGAGTATAAGGTAACATTAAGGCCCAATCCCAATTATAATTTTGTACCCCTACCCCTTGGCTCTTGAAATAGTGTGAAGGAGAAGGGCTTCAAAATTTACCACTAAGAAATGGGACAGCACTACAACACTCACACACGTCATCATACTGTATGTCATCTCATCGTGAACTCTTACTTCATATGAGATCGATCACGAGACCTGTTGTAGTCATTCCATTTGCATTATTTGTTGGTAGTTATCTTAAGGAAATCACTGAAGGCAACAATATCATGTTATCATAATGATATAATGTGGCAAAAAGCTCATCACTGTACTGTACATTTACACCATGGCCATTCACGTTAACACTAACATTAACATTATAGCAGACACTGTAAAAGGCTAATTTCCACTAAACTTTTCTGAAAAGGTATTTGACTGTCATCCAGTGATAGATGGAAAGTATGTTGTGGGACTGCTATACAGGAGTTATTAGTAGGGGTTATTTAGCCTTTAGCAATTTAACCTTTTTTATACATTTTTTTAAAACCATGACAGTAAAACATAAACGTGGTTATGAATATATTAAAACATATGCCTGGATCACAACCCACACTTCTGAACACACGTGACCTTCAGATTAATAACTTTTTTGAACTTGTAGGTTAATCCAACATTTATAACAATTGCAGAGAGAGATCGCCTCCGCATTTTTGCTTTCCTGTAAAATATAACGTTGACAGAAAAAATTGTGGTGGGACCTACCTAAATGCTTTCTTAGGTTATTAAAGGTGTTTTCTGTCACTGTTTGATTAGCCTGCAATAATGCATTCTGTGTAAAGCTGCACAATTGAACATTAAAAAATTGTGATGTAAATTCAAACCTACGCAACATGAATGATAAATGATGATTTGCATATGTTTATTAATTCTTCGAAACACTGCATTTAAATCTGCATTTAATCAAGAGAGATTTTTTTTTTCAGTTAGTTACAAACAGTTACAAACAGAAGTCCTGGGATAACAGTTTATAGTTCAGACATAAACACTGATTTTTATGGTAAAGATTAAAATCACCTTTTAATGGACCTTGACGCTGGTGAACTTTACATTGTGTAGCCAATGGGTTTGTTAAAGCTAATGGTTTTTGCAGTAATATTTTTGTATAAATGAAAAGCAAATGACAATGGCTCCTCCCTTTTTTGCTTATCAGAAAAATGGTCCAATCCATTATCCAAAACCGTAGTGTGTGTATATATATATATATATATATATATATATATATATATATATATATATATATATATATATACATACATACATACATACATACATACATACATACATACATACATACATACATACATACATACATACATACATACATATATATATATATATATATATATATATATATATATATATATATATATATATATATATATATACACACACACACACACACACATATACATATATATATATATATATATATATATATATATATATATATATATATATATATATACAGGTATATATATATAAACGTGTTATTAAACAAACATTTAACCAGAAAGACATCAATAC